ACCAGGGACAGGAGGGAGGGGAAAAAAGAGGGGTTAATGATGAAGAAAAATCACATTGATTAAGGGTAGGGTTGCATGGCCGATTATTGCAATTGCTGTTAATAAATTGTACACCTGTAAAAAGTTGAATTGGCAAAAGTTGTGTGATAGATATATTTACAACAAACACACATACACACGAAAAGAGTAGCTGCTCAGGCTGCTTATGTACAACAAAACACCTCACAGGATTTGGTTCCTTGGTTTGGACGTTTAGGGTCATGGTTTCATGACACATCCCAGTTAACTGGCCAAATAACATGTTTAGTGCTTCTGTTCTACCTCCCAGTTCATTGAGTAGTGTCTGGGGTCTTAAAAGCTTGCAAATGGCCATCCAGGGCACAACAATTACTCTCTATTCACCTGGAGCAACAGAGGAAGAAGAAGAGTCAAAAATAGGAGGAGGAAATGGAATGTGTGGCTAATTGCCTCCGTGAACAACTGCCTCCTTTGCCATGAGACCAGAAGAACTGGATGGTGCCTGGCTACCATTACTGAACATTTTGATCAAAGATTCTATAGAAGAATCCTGATCAAAAGGGGGAAAATTCATAACAAAATTTCAAATTCTCATTGCCTCCAGACTTTCTGGAGCCATGAGGGCTGGACAAACTCCTGAAACTACGACCCTGAGATAATCTTGAAAACTTAAACCAAAAATACCCCTTGAAGTCCTCTTAAAATCAAATAGTTTAGCTTAACTATTAAAAATGTCTGCCTTGGTCATTATGCCCTTTTAAGATCTATATGGAATCAAACTGACAACAGCAACTTCACAGATAGGAACCTTAGGGGGCAGTGAGTTTACGTTAATGGGGGAGGAACAAATCAGAAAGGAGGGTGAGAATGTTTGCACAACTTGAAGAATGTAATCGATGTCACTGAATTGCACATGCAGAAAAGGCTGAATTGGTGTATGTTTTGCTGTGTATATGCTCAACAACAACAACAAAAGGAATGGGCTTGTGTGCCTCCAAAGGATATGTACCAGAGTACTCATAGCAGCATTATTCATAATAGCTCCAGACTAAAAAATGATCCAAATGCCCAACAACAGCAGAAAGGACAAATTGTGGTATATTCACTTAGTGGAATACTATTCAACAAAGAGAATTAATGATCTATAATAAATATGCAACAATATAGATTAATTTCTTAAATATAATGTGAGAAAGAAGCTAAACACAAATGAGAACATCTTGTATGATTCCAATTATACAAAGCACAAAAACAGATAAAGTAATCTTATGTTGTTAGAAGCCACAGTAGCAGTGACCCTTAGGGAGAAGTAGTGGCTGGCAGTGGGGGTAGGTCTTCTAGGGTACTAGTAATGTTCTGTTTCTTGATCTGGGTGCTGGTTAGATGGGTGTGATGAATTGTGATAATTCACCAAGCTGCACATTTATGCTGTGTGCACTTTTCTGTATGTCTGTTATACCTTAATAAAATGTTTTTAAATTTTTAAAAAGGAAAATGCTGAAGGTACTTTGTCTCGGTCATACCAGGATTGAGGGTGAAAACTCCAGGGAGAGAGTAAATAGAAGCAGCTCCCAAAAGTAAAGGAGACAAGAACAGGCTGAGCCTATGGGGCCTAGAACAAAGAGAGAAGGAGGAACCCTGGGAGCTGGCTGGGACCCGGACAGATCTGAGGGCTCAGCTTACAAAAAGGCCCAGTGGGCCATTCCCTAGCAGCTTCAACCTTCCTTTAACAAAAGATCTGAGTGAACCAAAATTCATTTCAAGGACATATATACCTACATGGCTGCCAGAAACCCATAAAATGATTATCTCATAAAAATTTATCATTTGATTTTAATAATTCATAATATTTCTTAAAGCAAAGCAAAATTAATCCTATTACTTGGAATTGTCATCTTAGTTCGAAAGACTAGAAATGAGACTATTTCCAATTTTGGAATATGTAAATGCTGGTACAATATGTAATTTGATACCAAGGGACAGAGCTCCTCTCTTTTGCTGATAGAAAGTGTGGTAGAAAAGGCTTCATCCTCTTATACCAGGGTATCCTACATGGTGACTTTAGGGCTCCAAAAAGCTCCTCAGTCATATGTCACACCCCTGGCCAGGGAGTGGACCCCTAAGCCATTTAATACAGTCTCTGAGGTTAAAGGGATATTATACTCAGATATCATAGAGTTGGGTAGCTCAGTGGGCATCTAGGCCACCCAATGTAGAAATTCCTTTTAGGGTATTAGCTCATCTGAGGTGCTCATTTAATCTTTATACTCTTTGTTTTTCAGATTAATTCATTTTTATTGCTCTATTTTCAACTTGGAGCCCTGGTGGAGCAGTGGTTAAGCATTCGGCTGCTAACCAAAAGGCCGGCAGTTTGAATCCACCAGCCGCTCCTTGGAAATCATACAGGGCAGTTCTACTCTGTCCTATAGGGTCACTATGAGTCAGAATTGACTCGACAATGGGTTTGGTTTTTTAGTGGTTTATCTTCAACTTATCTGATTCTTCTGTCATATGTAACTATTATTAAGCCCATCTAGTGAATTTTTTACTTCAGATACCGTATTTTTCAGTTCTAGAATTTCCATTTGGTTCATTTTTTATAGTTTCTATTTTTCTGTTGATATTTCCTATTTGTTCAGACATTACAAGCATATTCCTTTACATCTTTCAGCATAAAATAGTTGTTTAAAAATCCTTGTCTGCTAATTCCAACTTCTGGGTCATCTTGGGGTGGGTCTCAACAGATTACCTTTTCTGTTGAATAGGGGTCATGTTTTCCTGTTTCTTCATATGTCTACTAATTTTGAATAGTCCTGGACATTGCAAATGATATGCTATAAAGACTCTGGATTCGGTTATACTTCTCTGAAGAGTGACTTTTTTGTTTTAACAAACCATTAACTTGGCTATGCTCAAACTCCAAATTCTGTCTCCCTTGTAGTAGATAACTGCTGTAACCTCTGTCAGTTCTTTAGCCTTAGCTGGGCTGCTTAGAGTATGTCCCACAAATCCACAGTTGAGGGATCAGCCAGAGATATGGGCAGAGTTTATACACAGAATTTAGGGCTCCTCCTTTGTGGCTCTTTCCTTTCCAGGTTATCCCTCCTCATGTTCCAGGTGCTGTGGTCACTCTGAACTCTGCCTCTGGTTATTCAAGCCAGTAAGACTGAGGTTTTACTGAGTTTAAACCACCTCATTTGGTCCCAACTGGGGTTTGTCCTGAGGTGATAAGTAATAAAACCTGAAAATTCACCCAGTGCCTTTCCTATCTTCCAAGTGTCCCCTTCTTCCAAGGGTAATTTCCAGTTTCTGCCTGCTTTTGGCCACACTGTGGTGCTGTCAGGTAGTTGTTTTTTATATTTTGTCTAGCATTTATAGTTGTTTTCTGTAGAAGGGTTGGTCTGATAAAAACAAATCTGCCATTACCAAAAAGAGAACCCAGGCTCTGGGGTGCTTACATAAAAACGCAGTTTCATACTCCATTCCCAGAGACACTGATTCAGTAGAGTTGGGGAGAGGCCCAAAAATCTAGATTTTTTTAAAGTGTGGCAGATAATTCCACTGAACACACTTTGTGAAATATCTTTTCATAGCATTCCTGGGTCATTCAGTCTCTATTCAAATACTTCCTATCACATCCAGACTTTGTCTCACATACTTTAGACATGTTATTGGGGGGAACCAGTCCCTGGAGAAGGACATCATGCTTGGTAAAGTAGAGGGTCAGCAAAAAAGAGGGAGAGCCTCAACAAGATGGATTGACACAGTGGCTGCAACAACAGCCTCAAACACAGTGATTGTGAGGATGGCGCAGGACTGGCAGCGTTTTGTTCTGTGGTACATAGGGTCACTATGAGTAGGAACCAACTGGATGGCACCTAACAATGACAACAACATACTCACATAAAACCTAACCTAATCTATATTTATTTACTGGAAGGAAAACAACAAAAACTCCAAACTCAACCAATTAGTGTTGGCAACACTATAAAATTCACAGATTCTCGCGAAGGAGCCCATATGAGCTCAGACTCAGTGCGGTGGTCTGTAAGTCACATCATGGGAATTGCAGGAAAATTTCCTAATAAAGTGAGCTGAAGCAATCAGATCCTCAAGATAGAGCGGGTCTGTCCTTTAGCAGAGGGCTTGTGTAGGAGGGTCCCTTCAAAAACTCAATGTAGTGAGTTCAAGGGAAGGGAAAAGACTAACTCAGATCAGACAGGCAGGGTTTGAGAAAGTCTCTTGTTGTTGTTGACAGCTGCTGTCAGTTGGCCCCTGACTTATGGCGAATCCAGGTGCAATGGAACAAAACACTGTCTGGTCTTTGCCATCATCATGATTAGTTGCAGATAAGACCACTGAGATCCATAGGGTTTTCACTAGCTGATTTTTCAACACAGATTGCCAGGCCTTTCTTCTTAATCTTAGTCTGGAAGCTCTGCTGAAATCTGTTCAGCATCATAGCCACATGCAACCCTCCTGTAACAGAGGGGCGACAGCTACACATGAGGTGCATTGACCAAGAATCCGACCAGGGTTTCCTGCATGGAAGCTGAGAATTCTGCCACTGAACCACTAGTGTCCTCTTGAGAAAGTCTAGAAACTGGAATTGTACTACATCTTACAGTGGACTAGACTTTAAGCTCCTCAAGGATAGATCATACCTACTTTTTTAACACTATAAGCTCAGCACCAGCAAAGCACCTGGATACAGTAGGCATTCAATATTTACTAAATGAATAGAGAAAATTTCTGGGGCCAGGAGGTTATCAAGTGAGTGACTTGGGTCAAAAGGATCAGGCATCAGAGAGAACATCCTCTCCTATGAGAGCTCTTAATAGAAAAAAAAAATCCAACAGTCAGTAGTTGAACATAACTAAGCCTGGAAGACTTCAAAGACTGGCCTACCTCAGTTTTCCCTCCAAAAGGAGCCCTCAATTCTTGCACCTATTTTTTAGCACCTGTATCACAGGTGTACTTACTGTATTGGAATTTTCTCGCAGTTCAGAATCTGTGGACAGAAGGCTCAAGTCACTTAGACAAAGTGAGTGATTTGTATCCTGTGAAAGAGAAAAAATTCTAATTGAGTAACAAAAATCAGGATTTCCAGCAGCATATCAGGTACTAAGACACTTAGACAAACTCTCCCGGGTTCTAAATGTCTACACATACTACATAGAGAAATACAAACCATCCAAAGCAAGGGCTATGGCAGTTATTGCATTTTTAAAAGCCCTGACATTCTTAGAAGAATCTCTTACATTTCTTAAGGAAGGTTAATAAATTAAGGGCTCTTAAATTATCTCGTGACAAAGGTGTAATAATATGAAAGTAAGAACATTTGTACAATCGGTTTTATCATTTTCAGAATGATTCCACATGACCTCAGTTGCCATTCCTATCAACATCTGAAGTATCATTTCATATTTCCATTCTGACTATGAGAAAACTGATGCTAAGACAGTGGCAGTGAACCGTCCTAGGACACACAGCTCATTAGTGGAAGACGAACCCAGTGCTTCTGATTAAAAAGTCCACCTTCCTTCCATTATGCCACTGAGTCCCCAATATGGGGATCTGAGTGATCCTTACTCACAGCAGTACTGAGGATTTACTATTCAAACACCACTGCCCAGGAGAACTCTGAACTCTAGAGTCCTACAATTGCAGTTGTAATTCATACACTCTATGTGGCAACTCTGTTTACCTCATGTGAATTAGATACTTCCATTCATGTATGCATTCAACAAATATTTATTGAGCATCTACTATGGATTAGACACTGTTCTGGGTCCAGGGATAAAATAATGAACAAAACAAAGACCCTGCCCTCATGGAGTTATATTCTAGTGGGGAGAGGATAAAAAAAAAAAACCCCACACAGCAAAAACAAACAAACATATAGTATGCAAGGTAATGATAAGTGCTGGGATGGGGGAAGCAGAAGAGGGAATGCTGGGGTGGGAGCTCTCTTTTATTAGTTAGGGAAGATCTCTCAGACAATGCTGCGTTTATGCAGAGGAAGTGAGACATGCACAAATCTGGGGAAAGTGTTCCAAGCAGAGGGTACAGCAAGTACAAAGGTCTGGGGGCAGGACTGGGCTTTCCTTGTTCAAGGAACCACAAGGAGGACACAACGGCTGAAGTGAGGGGAAGAGGAAGTGGATGAGATCAGAGAGGTGACCCGGCCAAATTGGGTAAGGCCTTGTGGGCTGTTATACAGATTTTTAATTTTTATTTTAACTGATATAAGAAGTTTCTGAAGGGTTATAAGCAGAGGAAAGCCATTATCTGCCTTATGGTTTAGAAAGATCACTCTGGCTGACACATATAGGATAGTTTATAGCTGGGGAGGGGATGCTAAGAAGACCACTTTGCAGGTTACTGCAGTAATTCAGGCAAGAGATGACAGTGGTATGAACAAAGTCATCAGAAGAAGTGATCAAATTCTAGATATATTCTCAAGGTAGCCTGATAGGCTTTGCTGGTGGACTGCATGTGGAGTGTTAGGAAAAAAGCATCAAGAGTGACTTCAAAATTTTTGGCCTCTGCCACGAGAAAAACAGAGTTACCATTTACTAAGATGGGGAAGACTCCAGAAAGAACAAGTTTGGATATGTTAAGTTGGAGATGCCTAGTACATATTCAAGTGGAGATGTCAAGTAGGTAGTTAAATATACAAGTCTGGAGTTCAGGGAGAGATCCAGGCTAGAGAGATAAATTTAGGACTCAAAGGCAATACAGATGGCATTTAAAGCCTTGATAATACATAAGATTCACTCTATTGGGGAGTGAACAGAGATCCAGAGAATATGCCATGTGAGGACCAAGCACTGGGGCACTCCATTGTGTAGAGGCTGTTGGCAATTAAACTGTCCCTGGATTGCTATAAAATGAAGAAAATTGGCTATATTTAATAAATGCAGCTTAGCAGACAAAGACTCTCAAATCTTAATATTTTTATCTGGATTTACAGACAAAACTGAGACAGAAAGAAGCCATTTGCTTCAGGTCACACAGTTAGTGGTGGAGCTCAGACTTGAATTCAGGCAGCTGGGCCCAGAGGCTATACCCTTCACAACAAATACTATTTTGTCTCTCAACATAGGGGTTAGGAACTAGGCTCTGGAATCAGAATGCCTGTCTAAATTAGATAATTATCAGATGTGCAACCTTAGGCAAGTTATTTAATTTCTCCTTGCCTCAAGTTTCTTTATTAGTAAAATGGGGATAAAAGAATATACCTCGCCAAGTTCTTATGAGTGAGATAATCCATATAAAGGCACTTAGCACAGTGCCTGGCACATAGTAAACATTCAATAAATATTAGTTATTGTTAATAAAACAAAGGGAGACAGTCTTCTTAAAGGGTTCTTTTGTTGTTTGAAAATTGGAAACCACAGAATTAGAATATACTCTCTCACACAAAATCAAAATCATACTACATACTTTAGGACCCTCATTATTCAAAAAGGGATCAGTATGGTTCACTTTATCTGTAAAATGCAAACAGTAAAAGTACTCACTTCACAGGTAAGTGCTCAACACCATATTAGAAGTACTGTTGTTAAGTGCCCTCGAGTGAATTCTGACTCATAGCGACCCTATAGGACAAAGCAGAACTAGCCCATTGGGTTTCCTAGGCTATAATCTTTATGGAAGTAGACTGCCACATCTTTCTCCCTCAGAGCCGCTGGTGGGTTTGAACTGCTGACCTTTCAGTTAGCAGCCAAGCACTTAACCTTGTACCACCAGGGATCCTTATATTAGAAGTAAGAACAGTAAATTTATCCCAAGACCTCTCTAGAAAGGAGCTGCAGGGGGAGGTAAGTATGGAGGAGGGGCTTGGTAAAGAAGAATAGACAAAACTGCCCGAGACTCTGTAGAAGCTTGTTCTGTGGTGGTACTTTAAGCCAAGGGCTCTCAAACCTTTTGGTCTGCAGCCCACTCAGAAGGGTGAGAAACTCTCCAGATTCTGCCTGGTTTTCCAGTGACAGATGTGTGAAACAAATCATTAATTCACGTCTCAAACTCAAGTACAGATAGATCATTTTATAGACATGAAGTGGGAAACAATACCCCCTTAAGAGCATCTGGGCAACCCTTTGAAAGCCATTCTGAATCTCTGGTTTTAAGATCACCTCCTTCCACCATACCTGATGGAAATAAGGTGGAGCTGAAATCAGAGACTGCAGCACATGGAGCTTGGAGAAATTTCTGGCTTCCACCACACATCACAAAGACATAGATCTTGACCCTGATTTCTTCCCTCTCGCTAACAGATAGAGAATATGTTTTAACCTTTTAGTTTGATACACAAATAATTGTTACAGCTCTGTAGTGCCCAGATCAAAGCAAGAGACAAAACACTGCACACCTCTGATCCATTGTGATGTGGAAGTGCATTGTATGAGTGTCCTTTGTTATCGTGACCTTTCATGTGACTTTTGAGACTGTACTGAGTGCTGAATGTTTTCTCACAGCCATTACTGGGGCAGAAAAAGGGTCTTTCACCTGCAAGAATGACAAAGTAATGTTAATTTTATCATAAAGTCATTTCATTAGATTAAGAAATCTACCTTTCCCAAACAGAAGGAAGTAAATATTCTTATGATGGTTCAAGTAGCAAATGTTAAAAGTTGGATAAATTATATGCTAATCATCTCAGTCCTAAAACTTACTGCACTGCAGAGCAAAGCACTGGGAATGGCCTGCTCCTAGGAAGTTTAAAGAGAAGATTACTTTCTCCCAGTTTCTTTTTTAGGGTATTTCTGTATTGATTTCATTTCTTAAGATTGGATTCCTGAGTCCAACCTTTACATCTTTTCACTTCTGAAAGAAATGCAAACATTACAGGTGAAGGCTAAGCTGATTAAACTTGCTCCCTCCACAGCACTCTACAGGTCTCAAAAGAAACAGAGATATCTATGGGCTCGATGAAGGCTAAAGTAAAAAAATAAAAAGTAACCTAAACTTACCAGTATGTGTGCGGACATGAGTTTTAAGGTGGTGGCTTGCTGCAAATGCTTTTCCACAGCCGTCGTGATCACACCTGAATCAGTTGTTCAAGCAAAGAGAAACAGCAGTCATTAGCTATGAGGTCTTTAATCAACATCTTCTGTAAAATACAAACTAAAACAAATGTTCAGAACACTCAGACCAGATGGATGCAAACTGGTTTTAGAGTTGAGAATGATGAGAGGTCCTTGGAAAAGTTAGGATCAGAGGGAGATGATGGTCCAAGACAAACATTTCCTGTCTTATAGATAAAGCTTATGTGGAGAGCCCTGACAATATAAGCCTTTTCATGAATTACTTAACTGAACTCTATTAACAGTGAGAGTCCACATGGAAAATCTAGTGCCAGTGGAATATTAGGAATATCAATGGTGGGTATAGAGGTGCTCACATATGCACAGGAGCCTGAAAGATAATATTAGAACAAAGAAGGTCAGAATTTACTGACTCTAATCACTTATCTATATATTTGTCAGTGTCAAGATGTACTTCTTGTTCCTTTACTTCCTTGAGATAACCAAAGTTAGAAGCAATCTTTCCCTCCTCAGAACTCTTAAGGCACTTATATACTTCTTTTATGGCACTTCTCATTTCATATCTTATGTTATCTGTGTGTACATTTGTTATCTGTTCTTCTAAAGTGTAAACTCTTTGAGGCAGGGTCCATGTAGTTCTTCACTTTTGCTAAAGTTCTTACACACAGCAGGCATTCAATAATTATTTATATTGAATTAAGGCATGTTCCTATAAACCAAAATACTTTCTTTAAATAGAGTAAATAGAGTTCTGTCTAATAGTCAAGAAGAAACTCCACTAGCAGTTTTAATCACAACAAAAACAAATGCATTTGACTGAATAGAAACCAGAGTCCCCTCAGCAACCTATGAAGGAAAAAAGTAACCTAAAGCTTCACACCATCTGCAGAGTAAGCAGCTACAATCAACTACTCTTGCCTTTAAAGGGGCCATGACTCAGGAATGCATCAGTAATTTAAAAACACAATTCCATTTAATTGATATTTAAGAGTTGTTATGGATTGAATTTGTGCCCCCCAAAATGTGTGGAAACTTGGCTAGGCCATGATTCCCAGTACTGTGTAGTTGTCCACCATTTTGTGATCTGATGTGATTATCCTACGTGTTGTAAATCCTAACCTCTATGATGTTAATGAGGCAGGATTAGAGGCACTTATGCTAATGAGGCAGGACTCAATCTACAGGATTAGGTTGTATCTTGAGTCAATCTCCTTTGAGATATAAAAGAGAGAATCAAGCAGAGAGGAGAAGGATCTCGTACCACCAAGAAAGAAGTGCCGGGAGCTGAGGATGTCCTTTGGACCTGGGGTCCCTAAGCTGAGAAGCTGCTAGACCAGGAGGAGATTGATGACAAGGACATTCTCCCAGAACTGGCAGAGAAAGAAAGCCTTCCCCAGGAGCTGCCATCCCAAATTCGGACTTCTAGCCTTCTAGAGTGTGAGAGAATAAATTTCTGTTTGTTAAAGCCATCCACTTGTGGTATTTCTGTTATAGCAGAACTAGATAACTAAGACAAGAGCTGATTATCCCTGAAGACTTTTAAGCTGTTTGTAAGTCTCCTCAAGAGGAGATGAGTGACCCGAAAAGGGAGAGGTAGCATATTTAATTCCATAAATATAACAGCAATATCTCCTGCTAAAATTCAAACACATGATTTAGGGGCAATTTTCAGTAATATACCTATATGACATTTAGGGGGATCCTTACAAACTGATTATCTCATAATAAATGTCATATAATCATCCCAGAGTTGTTTTTGAACACCTACCAAATGCCCAGAAGCATGCTAGGTGCTTTGAGCAGTGAAGAAGATGATACAAGTCTTTCCTTCAACCTTAGTACATTTATACCTTTATTTAAAAAATAAAATTATTATTATTTATATAAATAAAATGGATGATACTAAATATACGTGTATACACGCAAGTGATACTTTAAAACAACAACTGAACAAGTAACAAAATACCTGTAGCACTTAGCCTAAGTGTTCCTTCCTCTCATTTCCCCTCTCACCTCTTTCTCCCCTGCCCAACTCGATTCTTGGCTAAGTCTCCCGCCCTCTGGGCTCAAAGCACTTTGGGCATTTCTCAGTCTCAGATAATGTCTGGTTACTTGTCATTCTTTTCTGTCAGACTGAAGGTTCTTGAAAGAAGAGCCTGTGTCTTAGGATTTCTCTAGCACTAATAAAAGTACTTACCACATAAGTACGTTTAAACAAATGATTGTTAAAAGTAAAGGAAAACAACGATGAGGTACTACTACACATCTATTATAATGTCTAAAATCTAAAAAAACTGACAATACCAAATGCTAGTGAGGATGTGAAGCAATAGGAACTCTCATTCATTGTTGGTGGGAATGCAAAAATGGAAAAGGCACCTTGGAAAACAGGCAGTTTATTACAAAGCTAAACATAGTCTTACCATATGACCCAGCATTTGCACTTCTCAGTATTTACCCAAATGAGTTGAAAATTTATGTCTACAGAAAAACATGCATGTAAATGTTTAAAGCAGCTTTATTCATAATCGCCAAAACCTGGAAGCAATTAAGATGTCCTTCAAAAGGCGAAGGGATAAACAAACTGTGGTACATCCACAGAGTGGAATATTATTCAGCAAAAAAAAGAAATTAGCCACCAAGCCACAAAAAGACAAAGAGGAACCTTAAATGCATATTGCTAAGTGAAAGAAGCCAATCTGAAAAGGATGCATACTATATTATTGCAACCATACAACATTCTAGAAAAGGCAAAACTATAGAGACAGTAAGATCAGTGGTTGCCAGGTGTTCGGGAGGAAGAAGGAAGGGATAAATAGGTGGAACACGGGATTTTTTAGACCAGTGAAACTATTCTGTATGATACTGTAATGATGGATACACAACATTACACATTTGTCAAAACCTATAGAATTGCACAGCACAAAGAGTGAAACCTAATGTAAACTTGGAGTTTAGTTAATAATAATGCATCAATATTCATTTATCAATTTTAACAAATGCTCCACATTAATGCAAAGTATTAATAATAGGGGAAACTGGACAGGGTGGGGGGTGGTAAACAGAGGGGAGAAATGGAAGTTCTCTGTACTATCAGCTCAATTTTTTATAAACCTAAAACTGCTCTAAAAATTAAAGTCTATTACATAATAAATTTTTTTTTTTAAATAAAAGAAAGGAAAAAAATGAGGTGGAAAGACTATCATACACAGAGTAAGGATGTTCTTGGAATCCATCACCACTTCTCCAATCTGCAGGAGGTCATAGCTATCCTGAAGAGAGCTATCACTCGAAAGAAAGAATTGGTGAAGGCAATTTTCTTTCTATTTGAGAACAATTTAAGTACATTAAGGTATGCAGCTGAAACCTGATCTGTGACAAATAGGCCTGTAGAAAATAGTAAGACCTACCGAAATGGCTTTTCTCCTGTATGGGTTCGAATGTGCTTCCTCAGATCACTGAGTGTAGTGAAGTATTTGCTGCAGCCTTCAGATTCACAGTTAAATGTTTTCCCTGTGTGAAGCCTCTGATGTGCTTTCAGCCTGTAAAATATCCCAAAGAAATTCCCTTTATCAAATAGATACTGGAATACAGAGCTTCCCCATGTCAGCTTATTGTGCCTTAGGACCAAGTGGATTCCTAAGAATTCTATACCCATAATACATTAGTATCCAAAATTTTTCACCCAAAGATAAATTTGAGAAGTATATAGCATATACCCCTCTGACCTAGACTGCAGCACCCTGGACCCCAACCCAGACTTGCTGCCTCCTTCAGGCACACTGCACTTTTAGTTCCTGGACTACTGCACCCCAAGGTTACCAAGATGATCGTGGGGGACTGGTGCCCGTCTAGCATGCCAACCTGGTTTTCACCTACTGAGCTGACCGTCAGAAGGGTGCACACCCCCAAACCAGCTGTTTATGTGCAGGAATGCTATTTTCGCTTTTTGTCTTTTTTCGTAAAGGCGAAAATACTCTTCGGGTTTTTTCAGTTATCGAAAACAGATACTAATGTACGTCTTTCATAAAAGCAAAGTGGTGTAATGTGAACTTTCAGATAGCAGGGGAAACCTGCACTTAGAAAAGTGTCTACCACATAGTAAGTGCTTCCTAAGTGTTAGCTATTGCCATTTCTATTATTTTACATCCAGTGTCGAAGACTAAACAAATCTCCTGATACAAATGGTGGAAAACAGAAATGGCTACAGAGTAGGCCCATTTCTCAGGATAGAAACAAAGAAGTTATCTTCAAGGTGAGGTAGGAAAGAAAATTATAGAAGCCTCAGCACCAAGGTCCTGAGCCAAGGGGAGATATTACTCTACGTCAAGCACTAAAATCCCCAGGCCAGAATGTCACTCCATGACATGCAAATCTAGCCAACCCTGTATATGCTGATGTTTAAGTAACAAATTCCTCTAACAAATTTTTAATAGTTGAGCACAGCTATGCTCTTTAAAGCCCTGAGATAGATCCTCTCTCTTGTGCAAAGAGAGAGAGTGCTGCAATCATGAACAGGTTAGGGTCAGAGGCTGGTGGAGCAATGAGTGAAGAGGTTGACCTGTACAGTGTGTTGAATGCCTTCTCACAGCCCTGCACGTCACATTCAAATGGCTTCTCCTTCGTGTGCACTCGCACATGGATCCTGAGGCTGTAGGAGGTAAGGAAGGCCTTGCCACAGCCCTCCTGATTACAAACAAAGGTGTACTCTCCTCGGTGAGTCTTCTGGTGGGTGCGCAGGTTGCCTGCTGTGCTGTAGGTTCGGGGACAGCCCTCAAAGGTGCACTGGTACCGCTTCACCTGGCAGACAGAGGACACCTCATCAACAGGACAAAAGAGCTTTCCAGGGCCTAACTCCCCACAGAGCTTGGCTCCCAGGAGACATAAACAATACAAATGTGTTTTTATAATAAACACAGATAACAACCTCTAACAACAAAGTGGGGAAATATTACCGTTGATCAAACCATGCTTGAACAACAAATGAAGAGCAACAGGGAAGAGATAAGGTTGGGAGTAGATGAATATTCTAAATAAATATAAGGGTGTTTTCAGACTCTAGTATACATCTATCCTCTAAAGATGAGCATATACCGTTACCATTACCTATACTCAAATACAATTTTGACTTTGCTTTAAGGATTGATTAAACACCCTGCCCTCTTGCACTGGATCTTGATAGGAATTGACCAACATTAAATTGAGTCGAAAACATCCTGAAATTTATATACGCGATCATTAAGCAATATTTCCCCAGCACAGTTTCTACTGCGTAATTTCAAGTCCCCAAAATGAAAACACGATATCTCAAATTTCTTGGAATATCTGGTAGTATGACATTTCTCAAGCTACCAGCCTCTTTGCTTCCTTTCACCACCAAACTTCTTGAAAGGGCAGTCTACCTGTATGCCTCCATTTCCCTCAATGTCCGTGCAGTCCTTAAGCACTGTACTAAAATTATTCTCTTGAACCTCCTGATGGTCAAGTCCTTTTATCCTCCCCTATTCTCCTTGACTATCTGCAAGATATTTCATTGATGATGCCTTCTCCTTCTGAAAAGGTCCTTCACAACACAGTAGTAACACCCCAGTTCTTCTTCTACTTCTCGGGCACTCTTTATCTCCTCTGCTGAGTCACTCCCTTCCCCTAACCCTTAAGTGTGGGTGTATTCCAAAGCTTATCTCTTATTTCTCAAACCTTCCCCAACATCTACACTGGTGAGTGGAGGTAACATTAGACTGGGTATCAGAAGACTGAATTCTGGCACTTACGTTCCAGACCTTGAGTGAGTCATTTCACTTCTCTAAGCTTCAGGTTATTTTTAAAATGAGAAAATTAATGCCTAACCTGCCTGTCTCCAGTGATTTTGAGTGGAGCAAAATAATATAAAAATCTGTGGAAATACCATGTAAATTATTTGATGCTATACATATCAAGGCGCTGGTACTATCCACTCTTTAGACTTAACTGTAGGTTCAGGTGCATCTTCCTGTGCATAAATCTCTAATCCTAACCTTTTCCCAAAGCCTCAGTGGGTATCTCCAACTACTCTTTTGTTATTCATTCAACAAACAGTTACTCAGCCACTATGTCCCAGACATCATGATAGATACCACAGATAAAAAGGTGAACAAGACAAAATTTCTGCCTTTAAGGAGTTGCATTTTTAAGGAGAGAGTAGAATGGACAAATTATTATACTCTATTTGAGTTCTATAATGCATACGTGCACAAGGTGCTTTGGGAACATGGAATAGGGAACACCTAACCCCTCTCAGAGACAGTGGCAATTAGTGAAGGCTTAGAAGCTGAGGTACTCTCCCAGAACTGAGGATGTCTTTTGCTTGCTTGTTTGTCTGTTTTTTAGGATGAACTAAAAAGGTTCTTCATACAAACCACTTAAGAAAGAGTGAACAGCATGGGAACTGCATGGAGAGATGAATGAATATGCTATGTAGAGTGAATCACAGACACACCTGCAGTATGTGAGAGACTGGCAGGAGAGGAATCTAGGAAAATTAGGCAAGGCTTCCTTAGTTAAGCTATGGAGTAGAGGAATAGGACAACGGGGAGCCATCACAGGTTTTAACCAAGATAGCAATACAATCAGATTTGGGGTTTAGGAGAGCTCATTCTAGCAGCCTTGTAGGAGATGAAACATGAAGAGTAGAGGAAGGGATTGAAATTAAGAAAAGAGGGACAACAGTCCAGGAGAGAGATGAAGGGAGCCTGAACTAGGGAAGTAACAGTGGAAATTATGAGAGATGAGTTCCAGAAAAATGAAGGAAGGAGAAGTGACTGGCTGTAGTGACAATTGGGTACTGAAGGGTGGAAGGAGAAGTCAAGATCAATCCCCAAGATTATGGCCTAGATAATTAGCTAGATGGTCACACTACCAATTTGGGGCTGGCTGGGGTGAGGTAGAGCTGATGAGTTGGGTTTGAGGTGTTGCCAAGACTTCTAAGTGGCATTGTCTAGAAGATAGTTGGATATACAGGCTGGAAGCTAAAACGAAAGTCTATGGCAAGAGTCTTTAGAACACAGGTAATATCTGACTTTACCTATATACTAAAGCAGGCTCAAGTTCAATTTCCAGCTCTACCACTTACTGTGTAGCCTTGGGAAAATTACTTAAACTCACGAAGCCTCAATTTCCTTATTTATAGCACAGAGGAAACAAAACTCTATCTTTGCAGGATTGTTGCAAGGATTAGGAATGATATGTGTAAAGCATTTTAATATAGTGACTGACATATAGTAGGCAGTCAATAAAATAGACCCTTTTAAAGTCACCACCGTTTAGGGTACCAGTGAAAGAAAAGAAGCCTTTGGCAGGTGAGTGGGAGAAAGGACTGGGATGTAGGAAGAGAAGCAAAAGAGGATGATGTCTCAGAAAACAAAAGAAAAAGGGTCTCAAGGAAAAGGGAATCATCAAAAATGTCAAATGTCAGAGACAACAAGGAATAAGGACTGGGGAAGCTACTGGGTCCAACAGTTAGGAATTCACTAATGACTTAACTAATTTTAAGGAACTAATGGGGTCAGAAGTCTAGATTAAGGTGACTAATGAAACGTGAGGTATAGGTAGAGAATACAGATGGAAAGCAGCAGCACAAGTGGACTCTGCAGTTGATGAAATTTTTTTTTAAGTAAGTTAAGTCCTGAGCATATTTGGAAGAAGAAGATCCTGGAAGAAAGCAAGTGAGAAGTTGAGGATCTAGGAAGGAACATAGAGAAAGATATTTAAAACCCTGGGTAGAGGAAAAAGTCTTAGGTAAAAAGAGGGACATTCAGTTTCAGAAAACAGAAGAATTGAGATAAGGATGGGTGTGACTCAGGTCAACACATTTTTCTGTAAAGGACCGGACAGCAAATAGGGTTTGAGGGCCATAAGGCTCTGTCACAATTACTCTGTGATTGCATGTGAAAGTAGCCATAGACGACATGTAAATGAATGAGGATGACTGTTTCCAAGAGAACTTTATTTATGGACACTGAAATTTGAATTTCATATAATCTTCATGTGTCATGAAAAATTATCCTTAAAAAAATTTTTTTTTCAAAGATTTAAAAAGGTAAAAACCATTCTAAGCTCAAGGGTCATATAAAAAAGGCATGAGGATAGATATGGGTCACAGTTTGCCAACCTCTAAACCTATAAAAGTGGGGGAGGGGCCCTGACTACACCTGTCTCCCCACCTACTCCTGGTTTCATCTGTCCAATCCCCAATAAGATCTTGCACAAATCTTTAGGTTCCTTAGGCAAGGGCTCGCTTACCTGTTCATTCCTCACCCTTCCTATTGCCATACAGGAGGTGTTTCACAGATATTTGTTGAGCTGAATTATTGAATCACTAGTCTAGGCACTCTTCTTCTCATGTCTCAGTGCCTAGTTTTGAAGCCAATCACTGCCACATTAATTCTAAAACAATGTTTTACACATGACATCTCCCTGATCAAATGATAATTCCTATGGCTATTTATGGTCGTTCACGAGTCTTCTTTTGCTTCTATCATGCTACTCTGTGACCAGCCAAAGTGTAGGCTCTGTCTAGGCCTACAGGCAACAGTACACTCTTCCCCAATTACAACACTAAATTCCCACTTTCCTGCCTTGTCTCTCTCCTTTCTCTCTACCGGAAATGCCTAATTTCTTTCTTCTATGCTTTTCTGGGTCTCTCTTCCTTCAATTCATGACTCACTACTTCCAAGGCCATGTATAATCATCCTACATCTAGGCGACAGTGCCCTTCTCTGAATTCCAATAATCTTTAACTGTAACACTCATTTGACACTTAGCCTATACTGTTATGTATCCTCTCATGCATATATCCTGATTTCCCACCAAGACTAAAAACCTCCTTGGTGCTGTTGCTGTTGGGTGCCTTTGAGTCTATTCTGACTCACAGCAACCCTATATGACAGAGTAGAACTGCTCTGGCTGTAATCTTTATGGAAGCAGATCACCAGGTCTTTCTCCCACAGAGCCACTGGGTGGGTTTGAACCACCAACCTTTCAGTTAGGAGCAGAGAGCTTAACCATTGAGCCACCAAAACTCCTTTCTTTGGTGCTGCCAGAGAGAAATTTCAAAATAATCACTAACCAGTCAGAAGAACTAGGACTGTGAATGTGGCAATAAAGGAGTCTTGCATGGCTCTCTCATAAAGCTTATGACGATGGTGAATGATAAGAGCAGAATTTAATTCTTAAGATGCTACTACAGTTGATAACTTTATAAGTAACAGTGCAACAAATAATTAACTACTCTCCTGCCCTGCCAACCCCCACTCACACCTGGGTTTTTTACTTGGCCAATTCAAGCCTCCATTAAATGTTCCTTTCTCAAGGACATCTTCCCTGACTGCTCTTTACTCCCACCCCAAACTAGAATAGGTATGTTTATTATAGGTTCTCATAGCTTCCTGTATTTCTTAAAGCACATAATACAATTAAGGTTAAATAATTACATAATTAAACAATTTACATAATTATTTAGTTGCTAGGCACAGGAGTAGTTACTAAATAAATATCTGTTGAACCAAGTAAGTGGCTATTCCTCGGCTGGATTGTAAGCTCATGAGAGCTTGGACCAAGTCTTTGTTCACTACTGTAGCTTCAGGGTCTACCCTTGTGGAGAAGTGGCACTCGATTCATAATTGTTGAACGAAAGCATAAAACCAAACTAGCAGAACTGGGTGCTAATGAAAGTAGTGACAAGGACATTAAAGGAATAGGGTTTCAAAGATGATGGTCAACTAGGTCAAATGTAGCAGAGATGGCTGATAAAGCATTTCTTAAAT